CCCTAATATATCTTTACATATGCTACAAATAATATATGGTCCCTAATATATCTTTACATATGCTACAAATAATATATGGTCCCTAATATATCTTTACATATGCTACAAATAATATATGGTCCCTAATATATCTTTACATATGCTACAAAAAATATATGGTCCCTAATATATCTTTACATATACTACAAATGATATATGGTCCCTAAATTGACAATAAGCGGCTGGGAGCAGATAGCAGCACCATTGAATATTAACAATTTCAATACAACTTTTGAATGTCAGCAATCACCGCACCATCACCGGCCTGACACGTTTTTACCCACGTTCTGACAGATGGCCGACCAAAGAAAGAACTGAAATGACCGTGATCATGTCCGTTAAGTCATTTTTCTATCGCGATTTTCGAGAGAAACAAATGAAAACAGAAAAAAAAATATTTTTTAATTTTCATTAAAAAAAAAAATATTCCCCACTGTACAATAAAAAAAAAAGGAAATATAAAAAAAAGCAAACAACAAAACAACAAAACAAAACCAAAACCGAACCTTGATAGCTGCAGCCGTACGTCAGCCCTTCGAAGTTCGTCTCACAGCACGCGGGGTCAGCCTCGTACGTCCCCGACTGCCTCTTGACACGGACCTGGGCCTCGGGCACCCGCGTTGACACGTCCGGCTTTTTCCTGAACCAGTTCCCGGGCCTCCGTCCGACGTCTTTGGTCAGGACGTCCAGGATGCTGGGATCACTGCCGTTCGGACTGGACCCCGTGCCTCCAAAAAGATTCCCGCCGATGGTTGTGAGCTGTTGCTTCAGCGTGTGGACCTTGCAGGACAGGTACGCTGTGAGCGTCGGGCATTCACACTGTTTTGTGGCTGAAGAGATTCAGTTTGAATATTTATTTATTTATTTTTTTAGAAACATATTTGTGCTGCAGTAGAGAACCCTCCTCCTCCCCCTCTTTTCCCCTCATACAAACGCGCATGGAACTCCCATAGCTCTTTTTCCCCCCATCATCTTTATAATCGTGGTATAATCTTTTTTAGAAAGACACCCATGCAACACTGGCAGAGGTGAGGACATCCTTATATGTTTTCGGACTTTTCTGTGAATTCATTGTTGAAAATGTTTGTCTACGAATCCTTTAAAAGTTTTATTAACTACAATGGTCAATTGATAGTCTACTGAAGATATTTTGTCTGTAGCTTATTACAATGTAACACAAAAATATTGTCTGATTTATCCTTTTCCTCACAAACGCACATTTCATCCTTCTCCTTAAAAAACACATATTTCATCCTTTTCCGTACAAACACACATTTCGTCCTCCTTAAAAATAAACACTTCATCCTTCGCCCTGCAGATACACATTTCATCCTTCGCCCTGCAGATACACATTTCATCCTTCGCCCTGCAGATACACATTTCATCCTTCGCCCTGCAAACACACATTTCATCCTTCTCATTACAGACACACATTTCATCCTTCTCCTTACAGACACACATTTCATCCTTCTCCTTTTACAAACACACATTTCATCCTCTTCTCTACAAACACACGTTTGATCGCTAAAACCCATCGTGACGTACCTGAATACTTGCATCCCTCAACAACGTCACAACAGCTCAGACCAGTGGCAGAACAACTGATTGACACAAGAGTTAGGACAGTCAGGAGGCGCAGTGCAAGTCTTGCTGCCATATCAGCCGTCCCACACAGCTGTATAGATGTAATGTATCTAAGATCATCAATGGGTAGCTAGGGTTAGTCATGTATATCCCGACGTGTTTGGGGGAGTGCGTGTGTGAGTGTGTGTGTGCGGATAAATGAGGAAATCGATAGAGTTAGAGAGATGGAGCGGAGCAGAGAGCGAGGGATATAGAAAGAGTGAAATGACGTAGAGCTAACACGTGTTTGCTGTAGGATGAGTTCAAGTGGTGGACTGCGACACCGTACATTTACGAGGTACACTGAGCCAACATATATAGATTAAATACACGGCAATCGACAGTCAAAAATCTGTTGTACTTTGGAATCCCAAAAGCATGTCCAGATTGGAGACTTTTTGGACCTTTGGGTCAATGTAACAATACTGCTGGTGAATAGCAAACGCTTCTACTCAGACGCTCATTTGTTCGGGGTCCTTCTTTGTGTTCAGGGTTCATAGTGCTTCAGATCCACGTGCACCTTTTAACATTTAAGGTGTTTTTTTTTTTTTTAAGTTTCAAAAATAAATTTAAAAACTCTATGTTTAAGATAGTTTGTACATTGATGATTGCTAATGAGCTTCATGTGTCATTTAATTTTATTATTTTTAGCCTTCAGTACTTTATTTATTTTTTTAAATCATGTGTTTAAATATTTCATCGAAGTCTGAGTTATTTTACCCATGGGTGTGTTTGTCAATGATTCACTAATCTGTGTACTGTGTTTCAAATCAAATTCTTTTCTTTTGAGCAATAATATTTTGTTTCAAAGCCCAACTAAAGTGTTAGCTTCATAAAATAAAATAATTGAATAATTGCAATCATTTTAAAGGTAGCTTTTAGCCTTTTCAATCTATAATTTAGTTTTAAGACATTTTGTTGTAAGATATTTTTATTATAAAATTGTTGTAAGTATATATTTAATTAGGTGATCAATGAAAAAGTTATTTACAACTTTTAACGGGTTTAAAAAAAAAAAAACAACAACATTGAAATATACCTAACATTATTAAACGAACTGAAATTTTTCAGCATAAATATTTACAATTAACATATTTTATGACGATAGCTTACCTTAGAGGTGTTAGCGACGAAACAGTAAACAAAACGCAGATCAAAGTATAAATGGTTGTAACTGCCCCCTGGATTTCGTCAGGACGCGAAGTAACTTCTCATCAAATTCAAAACTATACAATTGGTTGCGGCTGGAAGAAGATGAAACTCTCCAATCGTCTGTTGTTGATTAAAACAAGTGATAATAAGCCCACAAAAAGAAAGGGAAACAAATACCGAACTAAAGATTATACTTTTATTTTTTCTCGCTAAAGTTTTTTTTAGGAACAAATAAATAGGTGCTATCTTTTTATTGGTTGTTACTTTCGCGTGGTCGGTGCGCGAGCTGGCCTCTTTCTGGTGGCTCAGCGGATGGTTGTTTGAAGTGATGTCCATTCGTTCTGCCCCGTTATAGGCATTTAAACGACATGTAGAATCACCAGGGTTGTGCGTGTTAATTTATCGATTTATTTACGGTAGGGTTTTCTTTTCATCCACGAGATATGCTTTGTAAATTGTTTCCTTGCCAGATTTAAAAAGTACCCCACAAAAAAAAAAAAAGAACCATTGTTTAGCTACCTATTTGCCGGAATTCCGAGGGTCCCCAGAGTATAAGTTGCGTATACAAAAGGCGCCACCCATGCCCTGGTTGAGACATTCAGGCCTTATAAACTAACAGTTTTACAAATATTTTATCATATATATATATATATATATATATATATATATATATTATATATTTTCTCCCTATATTGAGAGTATATTTTATCTCTCTATATTTCTCCCAGAGTATAAGTTGCGTATACAAAAGGCGCCACCCATGCCCTGGTTGAGACATTCAGACCTTATAAACTAACAGTTTTACAAATATTTTATCATATATATATATATATATATATATATATATATATTGCATATATCCTCCCAATAGTCAGAGTAACTATTATGTCACTAAATTTCTCCACCCCTTTCCTTAAATTGATGGCAAATCTCAAACATTTCAGAGGACACTTTCTGGCTATCAAGCCCCCCCTACCGCCCCCCCCCTTTTTTCCATTCGACTCCCCATGTTATTAAATAAAGTTATTTTATTCATAACATTCCACTGCCCCAACTGTAATTTTGAAAAAGGAAAATTGTATTTTTATATTGTACAATTTTGTCACGGTGACGTCATCTTCTAGGATGAGTAGTTTCAACTCAAGTTCACCGCCTACTTTGTAACATTTTTGTCACGTTGACGTCATCTTCTAGGATGAGTAGCTTCAACTCAAGTTCACCGCCTAGTTTGTAACAATTTTGTCACGGTGACGTCATCTTCTAGGATGAGTAGCTTCAACTCAAGTTCACCGCCTAGTTTGTAACAATTTTGTCACGGTGACGTCATCTTCTAGGATGAGTAGCTTCAACTCAAGTTCACCGCCTAGTTTGTAACATTTTTGTCACGGTGACGTCATCTTCTAGGATGAGTAGCTTCAACTGAAGTTCGCCGCCTAGTTTGTAACATTTTGACACATAACTCAACAGTTATTCATGACGCACAATTATGCGACGAAAGTTCTGTCACAGGCTAATTATAAGTATAAGGAACAACGAAAAACTCGAATGAGGATTTGCAAGACTCAAAAAATATTTACCATAAACAAAAAAAATTTTTTTTTTAAAAATCCATTTATTTGGATCAATACAATTATCTTATGGTATCTTATTTTAAATTTAAAAGCTACTCAGGTTAATCGATGTAATTATCAAGCGAAGATTGAAAAAGAGCTAAAAAAAAACAAAAACAAAAAAACAACTAAATTTGCAATTCATCAAAAGGGGTGTAAAGCCAACATCTTAAGAACCTCGGATATCCGTTATACAACCACCAAACTTTATTTCGAACGTTTTTATGTCTGCGTACATGTTATATGTGTTTACTGACACTTCCCATGACTGTTCCTCAAATTTTTAGTCGACCAAACAATACCCGAGTCCAAGCTTGTACCTACGCCCCATTGTAAGTTGGCTTTAGAAATGGGCATGGTCAGTCAACAAGAGGGGGCGGCAACTTTAGGAAACTTCTGCACGATTGTCTCATTGTCTCCCTGTATCCCCTTCAGACGATAAATTTGTACAAGCCCCTCGTCAATGTGGGACGTCTGTCACACAAACACACAAAAGAAAGCATGTCTCTCTCTCGTGATACGTGCGTCGGCTTATTGCCCTACGCCAGATACGTTCTTGGTTTTAGTGCACCCTACCTTAAATGGACGCAAAACAAATGACGTCAGCCGTATTTTCGAAATTGATTTTAACCAATGCATCACGTGGTACACTTTATTTTTTAAAAAAAAGGTAATGGATAGAATTCTCCCTCTGTAGTTAACACAGGCAGCAAACTTTCTTTTTTCGAGCTGCCCTGAAAATGTCCTGTCTCATCGCTACGTCTCTCGCCGTGCTGCTTGGTTTAGCAACGTTTGTAACTTCTGTCAAAGGTAACTTTTAAATAAATATTTGTATATGACCGATGCTTTATGATTGATTCTGCAGATTGTCATCTATTTGATCTGTCCGTGATTTTAATTTTTGTTTGATTATTATATTTTATTGTTGCGATAATGCACGGGAATTGATTGTCATTTGACATTTAATTGTCTCTTAGCATTTCTTAGTATGAAACAACATTTAAGATGTTTCATGTCAATTTGCTCCCTGCGTCGTCCATAATTTGCTACGTAAACATCAACTGAACAAAAAATGTACAGTTTTCTGCAAAAAAAAAAAAAAAAATGGATTTAAAAGAAAAGGGTATTTAAGAATAATTGAAGCTTTTTCATATTTTACATTAAAGTAACAAATACGTTACTATTAATTTGCTCCCTGCGTCGTACATAATTTGCTACGTAAACATAAAATGAAAAAAAAATGTACAGTTTTCTGCAAAAAAAAAAAAAAAAATGGATTTAAAAGAAAAGGGTATTTAAGAATAATTGAAGCTTTTTCATATTTTACATTAAAGTAACAAATACGTTACTATGACAATGATTAATACAAAGAAGTTGGGTCTAAAAAATTTGAAAACAACATAATGGTTAATTGAAATAATCAGTTTAAGGTGGTGAGTTAAGTCATGAGTGTTGACTGATGTACTTAATTCATAATATTGTTGACTGGTTTAGCCTACTTAAGTCATGACAGTGTTGACATGTGTACTTAAGTTATGACAATGTTGACAACAATATTTAATAATATAGCATGCATTACAAAGATGTGTACGAATATACTACTGATTTTAAAAAATATATATTTTTATTATCAAATCGCTAATAATATCCCAGTACACCAACTCTATGTGGACTATAAAATGGCGAATGACAGCATCAAAAGAAATATCTATACGAGACACTGCAGAAGACTAGAATACCCAACAAACTACAGAGGCGTAGCGAGGGTGTTTGGCGCCCGGGGACAAGATCCATTTTAAGGCGCCCCTTTTTCTTTTTTTTCAACTCTCAAATCCATTATTTTCATCAAAAAAATAATGTCAAAGCACATTTTGGCGCCCCTAACTAGCTGGCGCCCGGGGACATCTGCCCCCCTGCCCCCACCTCGCTACGCCTCTGGAGGCAGATACGTGTAACATTAATCAACTCAAAAAGCAAAATCAAGGTTCACGGTGAATGGTCAAGGGGATTCCAGATTAGACAATGTGGTTCACCGTCTTGTATGCTATTTAACCTAACATAAGAGAGAGCTATAAGAAGCATACAAATTGACACCCAAGGAACAATAACAGTATACTTTTTGACTGAGACCCAACCCTCAACCAATGAGCACTCTCTACAATCAACCCCTTCAATGGCTCGCATAAACTAATGACATAGCACTGTTATGGAAAAGTATTAAAGACACATCAAAACCCTTGAATTAGAAGACGCATCTTTTAGCTGGAAGTTATTAATACAAAAAAAAAATTTAAAAACCAAAGTGCATGACTATGTTAAGAGGAAACAGACGGATGAAACTATTACAAATAGAACCACATTTTAAAAAAAAATTAAATCAATTCAAATACCTAGGATCTTTTTTAAATTTCATTGAAAAAAAAAATGAATTACTAACAGAAATAAAAGAAAGAATATCAGCCGGAAACAGTTAAGGCAAACTTCAGCTGTCAGAAAATCATCAAAAGTAAAAACATTACAAGAAAAACAAAGAAATTATTTTTAAAACTGTAATCAGATCAGTTGCAACACACGAAAGTCAAACTTGGACCCTAACAAAAACAAAAAAACAAAAAAAAACCGGAGGAAAATCTTTTAGCGGAAAATCCAATGGACCTGCAAAGGATGAATATGGGCCGGATTATGAGCCGACCAGGAAATGTAAAATTAAATCCATATCAAGATTCCTCGCTAGTGACAGAAATAAAAAAAAAAGGTAGGCTGCGCTGGGCAGGACACTTAGAAGGAATGTCAATGACATATTATAAGTGAAGAGGGTACATCACCAAAACCCCAGAGGAAAAACACGGCGTAAGGGCAGACCTAGGCTTAGATGGAGGCATGATGTGGGGAAAAAAGATCTACAGCCGCTGGAATTCCAAGCATGGAAAAGAAAAGAGTTAGTTGATTCTGAGATGAAAGATGTGGTGAGGCAGGCCAAAGCCCTACATGGGATGTAGCGCCACAGGGATGGATGGAAGGAAGTCGTGAGGCAGGCCAAAGCCCTACATGGGATGTAGCGCCACAGGGATGGATGGAAGGAAGTCGTGAGGCAGGCCAAAGCCCTACATGGGATGTAGCGCCACAGGGATGGATGGAAGGAAGTCGTGAGGCAGGCCAAAGCCCTACATGGGATGTAGCGCCACAGGGATGGATGGAAGGAAGTCGTGAGGCAGGCCAAAGCCCTACATGGGATGTAGCGCCACAGGGATGGATGGATTGATTCATTACAAAAATGCGTAAGAATAGACTACTCATTTAAAGACATACATTTATTAGTAAAGCAATAAATGAAAGTCCTCAATAATATAACTGATTATCTCAAGAACATTAGTTGAAATTGATGTATGTTAATCATATTTATAGTTTTATTCACATTATTTGTAAAAAAAAATATGCCCAAAATTTATGACATCGAAATCTACTCTGTGATATGGAGTTATGTAACCAACTGAGATCTCTCAGCTCGAACTGTCCCTATAACCAATGATTGAAAATCTGGTTTATTTTTTAATAAATTGGCTCTAGCATATGCTTAACGAATATATCCGCAGATGGTACGGAGGTCGACCAGTGCGGTTACCCAGGCCTAGTGGCAGTGCTGGCCCCAAATGACGCCATCGTCTGTAACGGCATTCTGATCAGCGGGACCCTGGTGGTGCCACAGATCTGTGGCGTGGGGATGGACGAATTCCTTAAATCAAAGTAAGACCTGCGTCCAGGTTGTGAGACTCACTGTTGTCGGTTTGAGCTTGCTGTCACCATGAGTTTGTAGGTCTGTGCCCAAATTGTAGCTGGATGAAAGGAGATAAGCAAGAAACACATGTGTTGAATACAAGATGTGTGAGATCGAAAGGAGAGTCAGTACAGAAGTGTGTTGAGAGAGGCTAATCTCGTACGTCAGTCTAGGAGTTCAGGTTACTGTTGTTAGAGTTGGACAGAAGCTCTCGTCAGTGGCTTTGGGCGAACCGTAGTCTATGATTAATATGTTGTGTCTGTCACACCTGTGATTATCAAGATACGAAGCATTGTTAACTGTCATCAGTCACAAGTATTAGCGTGATGAGTGTATCAGCAGCTATTGTCTAAAGTCACACTTGTCAAATGCCACAGTGTCATATGCACACTGTTCAACGGCAATGCTTGTTAAATGCTACACTTGTCAAATGCCACACTTGTCATGTGCCACAGTTGTCATATGCCACGCTCTTCAAATACCACACTTGCCAAAAGCCACACTTGTCAAAAGCCATATTTGTCTTATGCCACACTTGGCATATGCCACACTTGGCATTTGCCACACTTTTCAAAGGCCACACTTGTCAAATGCCACACTTTTAAAATGCCACACTTGTGAAATGCCACACTTGCCTAATGCCACACTTTCCATATGTCACACTCGTCAAAGGCCACACATGTCATATGTCATGCTTATATCCACAGTGACCTGACCCTTGTCTATGGAAACGGAACACGAGCAACGATTCCAACTGGAACATCAGGTAGGTCTACGCAGGTCAACAGATGCACGCCATTTTGTAGTTTTGTAGTTTAACGTAGGTGCAGGCAGTGTCTGAAATTGTCTGTTATTTTGTTAATATATGACCTAAAATAGAGGTGAATGTTGGACGGGGCTAGTTTTTCTTTGTAGGCGGAAAGCATTTTTTATTGATAGACAGCAATTTTAGTTGACAGACAGCATTTTTTAAGTGACAGACAGAATTGTTGAGTTGACAGAATGAATTGTTTACTCGAAAGAGAACTTAGTTTAGGTGTAAGAAAGATTGTTTAGTTTAAATAAATCATTGTTTAGTTCACAGGCAGCATTGTTTAATTGGCAGACAGCAATGTTAAATTGACAGATAGCGTTGTTTTAAAAACAGTTCTTTAATGGAGACCTCCTAGTAAAACAGTGTATATAAATAATTATTATGGGTGCTGGGTGGCCGAGTGGTCTAAACTGAGCAAATCTCAAGTTGGTGGTCTGGAGTTCAATTCCAACCAGAGCCCATCTAAGAGAAGGAAACTCTGAAATCAAACCCGGAGATGGAGTCCCGAAAGGCGGATAACATTGATACAATGAAACATTCCGACAACTCCTGCGACGTCACTGGTGCCAAGCTGTATCATCCAATGATGTTCCCTTGGGTTACCCAGCGGCGTGGAGAGAGTCGATTTGCTGTTGGAAACCAGCTTATAAGTATAATAATCCCAGGCTATGTGGATTTCGTCCTACGAAGCCCACTCCATCGTCACATTGTGACGGACGGATGCCAGCCAAAAAAAACCAAAAAAAAAAAACATAGAAATTATCAACTAAGAAATTATATTAAGCATTTTATATGTGTTTTTTGAAAGTTATGAAAAAAAAAATCATGATGAAAGAATTACACCCTAATCACATTTATCCGGAAAACCCAAGCATCAGTCGTTTTTAGTACGTTTTTAATATTGCGAATTAAAATTAAAATTAATTTGTTCTATATAATCACGCAAATGAAGTCATAGCGTGAATAGCCTATTTCGCCAAAACTCTTAGGTTTCTTTAAATTTAGCAACCACGCGTGACACAACTAATGAAGTTTGTTCCCTTCTCAAAAATAAAATTAATAAATACAATTGATTGCTTTTTTAAATTATTAATAAAACACACACACACATTTTTGCTTGGTATAAATTTATGCTAAAAAAGTTTTAACTATTTTAATTCCAAAAATATACCTTTATTAAAATTATAAAGTAATAAAAATTAACCTTTTAATAATTCTAATAAGAAAAAGCGGTTTAAGTCAAACAGTGCAGCGCAACTCCATAGCCAAATTAATAGCATTGACTAATCCACTTATAACTAAAACAAAAAGAACAAACCATATGAAGTGCAAATTATTTTAGTTTGGGTATGGAATGGACTACAATCCGGTGTTAATTTTTTCTAAATTTATTTACATCTGGGTGGGGGAGGGATTGGTCACTTTGCCCCAGGCGGCATAAGATACGTCCCAAAAATAAAGGAAACGAATTTGATAAATAATTAAAATTTTTGGGTACATTCATATCGGAGTTTGGAAATAGGATGTGTATATTTTATGTGGATGACAACATATTTAAATCCTATGGTATTACATTTGTGAAGAAAGAGACGCTACATTCTTTTTTTTTTTAACAAATTTTGGGTACGTTCATTTTGTCCAAAGCAGCGCAAGATACGTCTCAAAATAAAGGAATGAACTTTATATATAATTAACCCTCTTTGGTACATATATATCGGAGGTAGGATACAGGATGTGTACATTTTTATGTGGACGACTATATATTTAAATCCTGTGGTATTACATTTGTGAAGAAAGTGATGTTAAATTCTCTTTTTACAAATAAACACGTGTTTACCAATAATGAAAATCAATGGCGTAAACAAATCTTTGGTACATTTATATAAGTATATCCATGGATATCAAAAACCAAATCATTTTACACACTTAAAAATTAAATTATGAAAAATAAAGTTGGTTAATATTATTTTTTATGAACATATATTTTTGTTTTCACTTATCAAAAAAAAAAAAAAGGGGGTATGTATAAGATTAGCAATTTAATTTTTTTTTTAAAGACAGGCAAATCTGATAAAGGCGTGAAAAAAATTTGCGAGAGTCTTCTTAGATAAAATAATTCTTTTTTTAAAACGATTTTCCGATAATGTATAATTTAAAAAAAGGCAAAAGTGTGTTTAAATTTTTGATGAAGATATCAATTTATATCGGATTCCTTTAATACAAAATATATTTATATCATATATATAGTTTATGTTGTGAATTTAAGATTAGGTTATTAAAAATTTTGAGAGAAAAACGTTTTATTCAAGGGCACGAAAAGGGGGTAAATCTAAATATTTCTCTAGCATAGTAATTGTCCCTCAATTAACTTCTGTAGTGACAAAAGTGATATAATTAGTGATAATTTAGACAAGGTAAATTAAGGCCATGTTTAGAAGGGGGGGGGGAGTAGTTTAGAAGCGTGAAAGGGTGTAGGGTACGCAAATGATGTTAGAAATTTAAATATCATTACATTTTAAAAGTTATGAATTGGGATGAGTTTTTGCAATTGCAGTTAGAAATTATCGCAAGGGAACTACCATTATTATCCCGATAACATCGGATCATTTATTCTAGTATATATATATATAAAGAGAGAGATATGTGCGATTTTTTCGGTAACACCATGACATTTAAGGTCATGCAGTGTCTAGGGGAATTTATTTAAACGTTTACATCATACGTTCCCCCCTTCCCCCCCCCCCACTTACTAGTTGGTCTTAAAGTATACCAACGGGTACCTAATATTTTTTCAATCTCATATTCCCAGGTACTCTGACAGGTGGGCTCTACTCCTACACGATAACGAACCCGCTGGGCAGCGCTTGTAACATTGACGCTACGGTCTACAACAGTGACTCGGACACACTTGACACCAGCACATGCGAGGTCGTGGGGTTTGGATCAGATTCTCTGTCTTCAAGTAAAGACCGCTTTCAAACTTCATGTCTGGAAAATTAATTAATTTTAATTTCTTTTTAACAATTAATGTGTTATGTTGGAGTAATAAGTCAAGTCTTTCCTCATACTTCGAATATATTGTTAGTTCCTTAAAGCAAACACAAAAAGTCATAAAAGTGACTGGCGTTCTTTGAAATCACCAGCTGACTGCAAAAGATGTGACTCTCCAAGCAAACACATCGCCTAGACCTTGCAGTTTTGACGGAGACACCTCGAGCGAAATTACACCATCTGTTTTTGAATATAGTACATTAAATCTTAATTTCGTCCTTGGACTATGCCGAACTTACCAGGATCTTCATAAATGAATAAAACCAATCAAAGATATTTCAGATCGAACAATATGAAGGAAAAAGAAACGTTTTTGTTGTATTGAAATGCGCCCTTTTTCGGCCTACAGACGAGTTGTTTTTTTCTTGTTGGGGCGGCTACAGCCTCGGTCCTGACGCTAGCTCCGCCCCTGGCTGGATACTTTAATCATTGATTTACCTGTGACGATTTTCTTCTTATTATTATTGAATTGCATACATAAATACATTGGATATTAAATATATAGCATCATTCACAGGCACAATAACGTGAGTCTCAGCAAGTCAGCTAACATCCAGGAAAAAAAACACGATTTTCTAAAAAAGTAGATTGTGTTTTGATAAGTCATTTTTTCCTCCTCAGAGATTTATGATGGCGTGGTCTATGCTTCGACCTTGACCAAGAGCAGCAGCAGTCCGTGCTGTGACGTCATAATGAATTCCCTGACGTCATCGCAGAAAGGCGTCATACTGGATAGTACTGCGTCGTTCAACTGTTTGATAGCGACAGGCGCTGTCTGTGGGGTAATGATTTGCACTGTCTGTGTGTACTGTATGTAGGGTAATGATATAATGTACTATCAGTATGTTAATAATATATACCGAATATAGGGTAATGATTAGTGCCGCCTGTGGGGTAAAGATTGTTACTGTATGTCGATAAGGACTACTACTATATGTGGGGTATTGATTAGTGTTGTATGTCATGAAATTATCAGTATTGTCTGTGGGGTGATAATCATGAGTATCATCAGTATGTTAGGTTTTGATTAGAACTATCCGTCGGGACATGATAAGCAATATATGTGGGATAATTATTTGTAATGCATGTGGGGTAAAATGACTAGAATTGCCTGTTGGGGCATACAGGGCGTAGTAGGGCTGGTGCGGCAGAGGTTCCCCACCACCGAGGGCGGCACTTACTAGTATTTATTTGGGGTGCTGCATCTCTGCGTCACTGCCACACAACGTGTGGGATGTTCCACATCGGAGATGAGGGTGTTTTTACGTTCCAATGGCCTTAGTTTGGCATGTGATGGCAGATTCGCATCACTATCTCTTGATTATAAAAACTAGACGTTATTAATGTCAACCATATCAAAACATTGATTCTATAATGATCTTCCCAAATGATAAAGAAACAAAAAATATGAATTTAAATTATTAAAAAAAATATGAATTTAAATTTATTAACCTAGACACTGAATAATACGACAAACATGTTGGAATCCATTCGTTAAAAATATTTCCTTCTTATTAAAAGGACTAAAAATAATCCCGCGAACCGGATTCGAACCAGTGACCTAAGGATTGCTTCGCCCATACTACAGTCCTCCGCTCTACCAACTGAGCTATCGCGGGATAAAGATATTCAGATAAAATCCTGTTTTGACCGTAGACCGTACATTGGCGATTAGAGAAAGATTACCTTATGCAAAAGAAAATCCCCAGTGGCATCCAGGCCACACTGTTCAACTAAAGTGATCAATCAAAAATATTCCCAAGAAGACTTTCCCTTAATTATTAATGTATGAATGCAAACTGTTTTGATTCTTTGAAACGTTCAATATTGGCGACCATTCCCCCCCTCCTCCCCCCCCCGAGGATAGTAGCCTACTTGACACTTTTTTGTGTGTGTGTGTGTGACTATGGAAATGTTATAACCGAAGACTTGAGACCTTTGAGCTGTTTAGAGTCACAAGTCACAACTTGATGTTAATTATTTTTTTTTACCGAGTCCTCTTTTCAACCAACTTAATTAAATATGGGGGCCACACATTTATTCCAAGTTCATCAAATACTTTTTATTGAGAGCTCCCCCCCCCCACCCCTCCAGCATAAAAAGGGACTGCATCAATTCTAATAAAATACTAAGCCCACAGCTTAAAGGACCTAATTGCTCTCTCCCGCTCAAAACCCTTTGAGAAAGGTGTACACTAAATAGACTTTACAATGTTTTTGATTGAATAGGATTTATTCTTTAAATGGTTCAGGTATTTTGTTATTACGAGGAAATTGAATTTACGATTTGTAGAAAAGTGTGGGAGAGAGCGGGCATGTCGGGGGCTATTTTAGGGGTAAATAAATCAAAACATTGCCATATAATATCATCCCCGCCTTATAGTCCTACCTCGTAAGACATCTAAATCTGTATACCATTGCCATGCTACATATCTTCAGCGTAAGATCCGGCTACTAATCTAACGTACCACCATGCCACATATCTGCAGTGTAAGACTCGATGGCTTATATAGCGTCACAAACATGGCACATATCTGCAGTGTAAGACTCGATGGCTTATATAGCGTCCCAAACGTGGCACATATCTGCAGTGTAAGACCCGATGGCTTATATAGCGTCCCAAACGTGGCACATCTCTGCAGTGTAAGACCCGATGGCTTATATAGCGTCCCAAACGTCGCACATATCTGCAGTGTAAGAACCGATAGCTTATATAGCGTCCCAAACGTGGCACATATCTGCCAGTGTAAGACCCGAACTCTAATCTACCTCCCCCCCCCCTTTTTTTTTGTGTTGAAGCATGGGGGGTCATCGTTCAGTACGTTTTCCAAATTAAATCGTTTCCGAGAGTATGAATGGCGAGACTATGTTCAAGCCTAATTGTTATGTAAGTAAAAGTTGGAATAAGGACCCTACATTGAGATCTGTATATACTTAATTTAAAAAAAATAATTTATTTTTTTGTTGTTTAATGTCGTCCGTTTAATTTTCCTATCTTCCTTCCACCCCCCCCCCGGCCTAAACACGTTTTTGTTCCACTATTTAATTTAATTTATCATATCCGAGACTAGTTTGCAGGGCCAGCAGTTCGGGTCCCTGCTGCAATCCAACCGATGCTGGCAGTACAGAACTGATAAACATCTCAATTTTTTGTGTGTATCATAGTTTACAAGAGACTGGTTTTCGTTCGTCATTGTCACGATGAATCGATTTGCTTGTTTTAAGTATGTTAAAGTTCATTCCATTCTCTGATCTAAATTCAATGTGCCGACTGCATAGTCCACCTGCTTCCGAAATGGTCTTCATTCAGAGATCAATGTCTGATACTTTTAGTTGTGGCAAATAAAAAAAAACATGTCACTAATGACTGTACTATTAGTAAATTGGTAGCAGTACTTGGCAGTCGTACTTGGTAGAAGAACTAATACATTTATTGTGACTTTTGGGTGTAAACAGAGAAACTTTAAATTACTCTCATTTATTCAAGGAAATTTTAACGTATCTTTAGTAAAATGTACTCCTTAATGTTAGCTAGATTCAAAACATTGATTTTATATTTAGCTTGTAATGAATTTCACCAAAGTGATTAAGAAACAAAAAGGTTTTTACATTATAAATTATTATACTAGACACTGAATATTGTGACAAAAAAATGTCGAAATCTAAAAGTGTAAAACATAACTTTAAAAAGGTTCCCGCGAACCGGATTCGAACCAGTGACCTAAGGATAGCTTCGTTCATTCTACAGTCCTCCGCTCTACCAACTGAGCTATCGCGGGTTACTTGGAAAAACACCAAATCCGGTTTTGACCGCACTCCGTATATTGGCGATTAGAGAGACATTTCTTGACGCGTAAAAAAAAAGACCCCTAAGGGCTAATACGTTAAACGGCTAAACTGTTCAACTAAAGTAATAAATCAGAATTATTCTCAAGTTGATTTAATGCATTATTTTGATTCTTCATAAATTTCAATATTTGTGGCTACTTCCCTTCCCCCTTTTTGTTATGGAAATGTTATACCGAAGACTTGAGATCATTGAGCGGTTTAGAGTCAAAAGTCACAAGGTGATGTCATTAAAAAAAAAAAGAAATATCTTCCCTTAGGTAATACGATGGGCCTAAAAATTTCGTGCTGTACCGTTGGCTCTCAGAGGCGTACCGAGGGTGTTTGGCACCCGGGGACAAGATTCGCGCCCGGGGACAAGATCCATTTTAAAGCGCCATTTTTTCTTTTTTTCAACTCTCAAACCCATTAATTTCATCAATAAAATAATATCAAAGCACATATTGGCGCCCGTAACTAGCTGGCGACTGGGGACATCTGCCACCCCTTCGCTACGCCTCTGGTTGCTCTTAATAGCCCTTGTTGTGATTCAGAAATGTGTGTGCACTGTGTGCCCTGTGAGCACTTTATGCCTTCTGCGCACTGTTGGCACTGTGTGACCTGTGAGGAATGTGTGCCCTGTGTGAACGCTCGATTTTTGAATACGCGTTGCTGTGAGTGCTGCTTTTCTGGTATAGGATAAATACTGTAAACCAGCAGTTAAGTCATCTAAATGATGACTAATGAAGACTCTATTGCCTTTATTTAACTAGGCGAGTTAATATTTTTCTAAACCGTCGAACAGTGCAGTCATGCGTGACCTGCGAACTTTTCGTTCTCTTTTGGGATGTGGGGGAGGGGGGGGGCGACTATTAAAATATTCAATAAAGAGCCACGGGTAGGGTTTAGGACTGTCTGTAGTTCTATTGTGTAAATGCCTGCGGGTAATATTTAAGACTCTCTATAGTCCCTTTTCTCAAAATACTCGGACCCGGTAATATATAATGTAGGCCTTGTCAAATTGTTTTTTTAATTTATTTATTTTTGATGCAATGAGTTTAGTGAGACAATGCTAAACACTAATAGTATATAGGAAATGTAAAATACCTTGTTACTGGTACACCTCCATAAAAATGTGGAACCAAAACGAGTGAGATTGTCGACAGGAAGCATGTGTCAGCGGACAGAAACAATTAAATTCATCAAATAAAGAGAAGGGACAAGAAATTTCTATGCCAAAATTTCATTAGTACTGTCTCCTGAGGAAGTTCTCTCAGCCGAAACGTTCTTCTTTGACTGTCCTGTCTTCAGAGTCAAGCTTCCTCAATCCTTGTTCTACTATTTCCTTCACATGGCTTTGAACACAGTCCTTTATTCATTAGTTGTTACAAAACGTCCTCGCTAATGAACCGTCAACTATAAATTATGGGGCGCAATAACTTTTCTGACTCTCTCACGCTCAGTATTATGACTATTTTTAATTATATATAATTTTTTTTAAAATTTATTCCTTTATATATTTATTTATTTATAATATGTTATTTAGTTATAAAGTTTTTAAACATATTTTTTATAATATAAAAGAGACCCATTTACAGATCAAATTTTTAAAATCAATAACTTTTCAATTCTTCGCTTTGTTTTTCAAAAAGGTAATAATTGGTATTTAGTTACATTACTACAACCAAAAAATTTTATTTAAAAAGAAAAGGTCATTTCCAAAACAAAAGCCCAAATCCTCAGCGCCATCAAATCTGATACTTTTCAATAAGTCAGTTTTTATTTAAAGCAATTCAGAGGAATTCACGTGAAAATAAAAATATTCCCGCGAACCGGATTCGAACCAGTGACCTAAGGATCGCTCTCTTCATTCTACAGTCCTCCGCTCTACCAACTGAGCTATCGCGGGTTACATGTACATTCGGTTAAATTTTTAGAAAAACGGAATGTCGATCGGATAATCTAGTAATAATATCATTTTAACATCCCGGGGGCAAAAATCCAGGTGCTTTTCTGCCCTCCCTACGATAGTGTCAATGGAGACCTGGTCGGATTGTGACACTTTAAGCATTTATGGAAGTGAGAAGGTGTACGCGTGCCAGTGTCACGGTAACATTGTTGCAGGATGAGCTACAACACACTCAAAATGTTGATATGAAAATCATTATAGCGGGCGAGCGTCTGGTCAGTCCCATCCAAAGAGAAACGACCATCTCGATGACCTAACTTTACAAGGTTAACCGGACGTGCCGCGTGGTCAAAGGCGTAGATTGAGGAGGTCCTTCGGGTGTCTGTCATTCCTTTAGAAGCTTGGTTCTTTAAAATACAAATGTTGACAAAATCTTTAGTCTACTATCGGATATTTTCTACAGTAATTTGTGGGCCTACTCTGCAGTTGAACAGAAAACTTAATTAATTATATTGGACTATTGTCCAGACAAAAGAAACTTTGTAGTTTCGGACGTAAAATTAATTTATTTTGCATTCTCGCTACGATATTTTATCTAATAACGCAGTATCGAACATTTGAGAACCACTGTAAGTAGTGTAAAAAAAGCAACTTATACTTTATCATTCCGTCTCACACGTGACCGCGTTGTCACCATCATGTGAACGTCCCCATATGTAGGCCTCTTTTTTTTCCAATATTTTCCGTTGCCTACAACAAGAAATATTAGCCCGAGCCTTACAGCGTACTGACCTGGGGGTCACGATAGTGTGGCGCGGATTAAGTTCCATTACAGCACGAAGACATTGTCTCCACTCGCGATGTTTTAAAGCTTACGAACGGCCAAGTTAAGGTTAGATTGATTTTTGGTTGCGAATGGGCTCGTCAAAGTTAGATTTTTTTTGGGCAACGAACGGGCTCGTCAAAGTTAAGTTGTCTTGGTAAATAGTTGGTTCATCAAAGTTAGATTGTTTTGGGTAACGAATTGGTTCGTCAAAATTAAGTTGTTTCGGTAACGAATTGCCTCGTCAAAGTTAGATTGTATTGGTAACAAATTATGGGCTCAAAGTTAGTCTGTTTAAGGGTGCTGACGCTCACTGAAAGTGATGGTGCACGTAGAGTCTATTGAGGGTAGGATGGGCATAAGATAGGATGGAATTAGTTTAGGGTGCACAAACAGTGGGGGGGGGGCTTTGAGGTCTCATAGATTAGTGTACACATACCGTAGGACGCATTGGGGTGTAGGGTCATATAGATTGGTGTGTACATACAATATTGTATACATACGGCAGGACACATTGAAGTATATTGTCATATATTATAGTGTGAAAATCCCGTAGAACGCGCTGAGGGTAAGGTCACATAGATTGGTGTGTACATACAATAGTGTACACATACATCAACACGCATTGAGGATAGTGAGTCACATATTATAGTAGTGCGCACATCCAGTAGGACGGCTTGAGGGTAGGGTCACATTGATTGGTGTGTACATAAAACAGTGTGCACTTTCATTACTGCTCACATACAGCGTTGTACGCGTGTGTTGGAGTGCACGTAATGTAGAGTGTAATTTATCTATGTCCTTATAACATAGCTTCATCCATTTCTTTTATCTCAACCCAAAGTCAGGTGATCTCGGCGCCCCTGTTTACTGCAACACCACGTCAGGGGCCACAGTGGTGACCGGTCTGACTTCCTCCACACCCTGCGCCAGCAGCGACACCTTCTTAGTGCACGACCTCACGCAGGGCGCCACCAACTTCAAGTTCGGCTACTAGTGCCCCACGGCAACGACCATCAGGACTCCCTAGGTCACTGCAGCCGAATGTTTCGCTCTACTGTAAAATCATTTTTTTTTCGATACATTCAAATAAAGCAGTAAAATTGTATAGAGTGACTTAACTAAATAGGTAGATATGGTGTTTGTTGTCATTTGGTAGGCCACCCCTAACAAGAGTGAAAAAATGTTAATCTTTTATTATTATTATTATTATTTCTGAAGATTTTAAAATAACGTATGTCATTATTTCAAAAAACTAAAATTAAGGAAGATAATAATATAATGAATACATTTGTTTTCAGTGCTGGCTGAATAACAGCTATTATAAAATGAAAGTCAATATATATATATATACATATATATATATATATATATATATATATATGTATATATAATGTAAAAAATATAGATCAAACTTTTTAAACATTTTCACCTTTTAGATTTAAATACAAAATTAAAAATATAATATATATAAAATGATTTGTTAACAATTTTTTGTTTGCGGCCAATTCTCAAAATGCCCCATAAAGCAGGCAGCTTTGATATCTGTCTGGTTGTTGAATGTATAGCACATGAGAAATAACATGTTAAATATAAATATAATTGAAAGATCAATTTATTAGATAAAAATATTTAAAATTAATTATGGTTTTGAAGTCATGACCATAAGATTGAGATGTTAAACTTTACTAAAAAGAAAAAAAAAAAACGAATTATCAACATACCACAACATATGTCAACATAACATACCACGGACGGGTAGAAGCAAAAAAGATAAAGATTGAGATCTAAATCAAACATTTTAAATAATATATCAGTGGGACTCATTTTTAGAATAAACAACAGCTAAGATGTCATTTGATCAATTTATTAATTATGCTTTCACAAATTTTGAATTATTAAAAAAAAAAATTGATTAAAAAAAATAAAATAATGAAAACAAGGTAACTTTAGGATGAGAAAGTAATTTTATGGGCAACAAAAGAACATGTAACGTGAGACTAAAAATATAAACATTAAAAGAAAAATACCACTTTGTGAACAAATAAACAGTTATGAAATATGTCAGTTTCTGTTTTCCAGCTGCAGTTGTTGTGTACATGTACATGTTTGTCACGGGCACGTACCCAGCTTCTCCAGTCTTTTTGATGGGACTTAAGTTTGAAAAGTGAAAAAAAAAAAAAAAAAAAAAAACAAAAACTTTAAAAAACAAAAAAAAAAAAAAAAAAAAAAAAAAACAATAAAAAAAAAAAAAAAAAAAAAAAAAAAAAAAAAAAAAAAAAAAATCAAACACTTTAATAAGCAAGAAAAAAAAAAAGAACGAAAAAAAGCTTCTTGAAAGAAAAAAAAAAAGAAACGCACGAAAAATTACCAAATAATTTAAAAGTTCGTTTAGTGCATTACGCAAAGAAAGAGGAATTCTTTACTGAAGGATGCCACCCCCCTTATCTGGCTTTGTTGTAGACACGCTTTGGCAGTTAGCTCAAGTGTTAAAGGAAGAAAAGATTTCAACATCAATGTAAAAAAAAAAAAAAAAAAAAAAAAAAAAAAAAAAAAAAAAAATAAAAAAAAAAAAATAAAAAAAAAAAAAAAAATAAAGAAAGAGGAATTCTTTACTGAAGGATGCCACCCCCCTTATCTGGATTTGTTGTAGACACGCTTTGGCAGTTAGCTCAAGTGTTAAAGGAAGAAAAGATTTCAACAACAATGTAAAAAAAAAAAAAAAAAAAAAAAAAACGAAATATGTAATACTTAGGAACAAAATATTCATCACAAAATTAGAAGGGATTTAGACATCTGGTACCGTCCATTTGACATTTTTGAAAAAGGGTTTACCCTAGACCAGTGGTCGGCAAACACATTAGTCAAAAGAGCCACAAAATCAGCAGCAATGCTATTTAAAAAAAAAAAAAAAATTGAGAGCCAAATTGTTTTTCAAGAGCATGTCAAGAACCATGAAATTCCTTTGAAATTCTCCTTGAATCTTGATTTTGCTTTTTGAGTTGTTTAGTGTTACACGTATTTGTCTTGTCAGTTTGTTGGGTATCCCAAACTCCTGGATAGTCTCATATAAATTGTTTGTTTTGATGCTGTCATAGGCCATTTTATAGTCTACATTTGATGTACTGGTAAATTATATTCATAGCACTTCTCTAATAGGCATCTGATGGTGAAAATCTGATCAGTCGTTGATCTGTTAGGCCTGAAGCCACATTGGTAATCACCTAGTATTTCTTCAGTGAAAGGTTGTAGTCTTTTGGCAATAAGCTTCGTCAGTATTTTGTATGTAACATTTAATAGGGAGATTGCTCTGTAGTTTGTGCACTGAAGTTTATAACCTTTCTTGTGTATTTGGGTTATTAATGCTGTTTCCCATTCTGTTGTGATTTTCTCTTCTTGCCAAATTTTAGTTATAAGTTTAACCACATATGAGAGGAAAGTTCTCAGGAAAATATATGGGCCGACAAAGGATGAATATGGATGGAGAATACGAACCAACCAGGAGTTATACAGTCTATATCAGCATCCCACGATAGTGGCAGATATAAAAAGAGGCAGGCTACGCTGGGCAGGACACCTAGAGAGAATGCCAAATGACAGAGGAACGAAGAGGGTGCATCACCAATACCCCAGAGGAAAAAGGCTCAAAGGCAGACCTAGGCTTAGGTGGATAGATGATGTAGAAAAAGACCTACAGCAGCTGGAAGTCAAAGCATGGAAAATAAAGGCATTAGTAAGGTCTGGGTGGAAGGAAGTGATGAGGCAGGCCAAAGCCCTACATGGGCTGTAGCGCCACAGGAATGGATGAATGGCAAGAACCATGTTTTCTGAGTCATAAATAAACCGATTTGTGGCCGACTGGCCGAACCGCACTCGGGTCGTTACAGAGCCGAGATTTGCCGACCACTGGCCTAGGTGTACTGCTCGGCTCTGCCAGGTGGATCTTTCTTTACTCCACCGATCTTCTCTGGTCTGATGGAAAGTGGGGCTTGATCAGTCAGACCAGTGTTTCTTATCCTTCCTAGTACAGCCACCCTTTCATAAAGTTCCTCACGATGTGATGACAACCAACCGTAAATTATTTTTCGTTGCTACCTCTAAAATATCTGTTTTCCCGATGGTCTTAGGCGATCCTGTGTCAGTATCTTTGGACACTAATGAGGTTGAGAACTGCCATTTGATACCATTTAGTTAATTACGCATCCATTCATTTTCATCAATACTGTGTTTAGGAAAGCCTTGGCCCCCATCCATTTCATTTCATCTGTAGGGAGTTTAGGAGAGCTCAGGTCGCATAGGGTGACACTCTCAGAGGAGGTTTACATCCTGGTTCGCCAACTCAATATAATACAATTTTACGGACAAAAAAATGGAAATCTCCATTTTTTTAAAAACATATACATATTCTATATCTTCAATGTCTTTTTAAAAACAAGAAATGTTAAAGTCAAATTTTTAAAGTTATTTTGTTGAAACCATGAAGATAAAACAAGTCACATATTCATACACCTCTATCTTCTATGACCCTATGTACTATGTAAAATATGTATTCATCTTTGACTAAGACTATTATGTCTTGTAAAGGTGTGCTTGCGGCCATTGAGACGGGCCTGATGATGATTGACCCTGTTATAAGAGTTAGGAGAAACAAAGGCTCTACGACTTTTAAGGATGACCTCAAGACCGGGGTCCTAAACTTTTCGCCAGTCGGCACCTGTCGTTGAATCACATGTTATCATGGCGCCCTAAGGTCAGCTATTTAAAGACTTAAATTTCATTACAATTTAAACCCAGAAAGTTCAAGTAACTTGTAAGTCAAGAAATGATCTTTATTACATTTAAGTTCCAGGGGGAAGGTTAATCATTTGTGAAGGTGTCCGCAAAAGGTTATACTCAGTTACTGATTGACAGGTCCGCTCTACAGGTCCGCTCTACAGGTCCGCTCTACAGGTCCGCTCTACAGGTCCGCCCTACAGATCCGCTCCAAACTAAAAGTCAGCTGTACAGTTCCGCTCTAAAGGTCCGCTCTATAGGTCCGCCCTACAGGTCCGCCCTACAGGTCTGCTCTACAGGCCCGCCCTACAGGTCCGCCCTACAGGTCCGCCCTACAGGTCCGCCCTACAGGTCTGCCCTCCAGGACCGCCCTACAGGTCCGCTCTACAAGCCCGCTCTACAGGTCCACCCTAAAGGTCCGCTCGACAGGTCTACAGGTCTGCCCTACAAGTCCGCACTACAGGTCCACCCTACAGGTCTGCACCACAGGCCCGCCCTACAGGTCCGCTCTACAGGTCCGCCCTACAGGTCTGCTCCACAGGCCCGCCCTACAGGTCCGCTCTACAGGTCCGCCCAAAACGTCCACTCTACAGGTCCGCTCTACAGGTCTGCTCTACAGGCCCGCCCTACAGGTCCGCTCTACAGTTCTGCTCCACAGGCCCGCTCTACAGGTCCTCTCTACAGGTCCGCCCTACAGATCTGATCGAAGTGACGTCGAAATAGGACGGATGGAATGGTCCACAAAGGTCTCACTTTTTCTTTATATGCTGGTGTGGAATTTTTTTTTACAACTGTAGAGTTTTTAAATTTGAAAGTCAAAGGGGGGACGACACAAATTTTTGGACGCTCAAAGCAGAACTAATAGTGGCTACGCCATGCTACGCCACTAGGCAGTGCATCTAGCGATACAAAACTCGGCGATCATTTCTATCGGGAACCAGGGCGGAAATCGAGGGTGCCGATGAATCTCGATCGGTTGAGGAGTTTGGGGAGTCTGCTCCCCATAAACTTTTCATTTTTTAAAAATCAAGAGGTGTATTTTAAAGTATACTCGAGTTCAGTGTCTCTGTTATACATTTGAACAAGGAGAGACATTTTTAAGTTTTTTTGGAGGCGTTATGGCGCCCAGTGTCATACATAAATTACTTCACTCCGTTCTTTGCGAGCCCCGGGGTAATCATTTGGCACAACCTTATAATCAACTCAATACTGTAACATTGATCAGTGTGAAGGAAGGGGTGCATACATTTAAGGGTGATAAAGACAGTCAGGCCAACTCAAAATGCAATGGTGCATTTTTTTTTTTTGGCGCATACTTGAATTTGTTGTTTCTTTCAGACAATTTTAAGGTGGCATTTCAAACTTTGGGATGGGCAGCGCCCAAATATGCCAGAAAAATGACCAAAGATATCTTAAATTCCGCACCACTGGGACGTAAACTTAATTCAATCCAGTTGTGTCACCCCAGAGGTCAGAGGTTAAGCTTTTGCCCCAGATTATTCTCGTCCACTTTAAATCATTAGAGTCCCCAGAAAATTTTTGATAAATTTAAAATTCAAGAATGCATTGTAAAA